AGGAGAAATAACGCAGATCTCAGGAAATGACGACAGAATGAGAGGAATCGATAAACGAACGAACAGAAAAATGACAAGAATCGACAGTGACAGACGCGAGACACGTCGAATTTGTATTGTACGTTTAATGAGGAGTTCGAGTCACCCCGAGCGTGACCTGAAGTTTAAAACCCTTCTAAAATCACGGGAAGTCTTGAGTTTCAAGAGTCTCTGATCGTCTCGGAAGTTTCGAAAATTGCGGCAGAGTTTCGTAGCGCGATGAGTAGCTGGTATATTTTCTCTAAACTACTTACCACGCCATCAAATCCTCAACTCCCGCGGCCTTCCAGACATCTAAGATGATCAAGCTTAAGCTTCCCCTCCAGACCCTCGAGATAATCACGATTCCTCAGGTTTTATTAACATTTTCAAGAATTTCAAAAACTCGAATTACATTCGACCTTGTCGCTGTACACGCGGATTCGAGGTGTAATTCCAGGTGTTTCGAATCCCATCACTAATCGAGAGTAATGACGAGAGAAAACAGAGAAGTCGAGGGACCAGCGAAAGGGGGCGGGGAAGAGGAGAAAAAGAATGATCGACGAGCAATAAAGTGGAAAGAGAGAGAGAGAGTAAGAATCGAGAAAGAGAGAGAGAGAGAGAGAGAGAGAGTAGTGAGAGGGCGATAGAGCGGCAGGATGGTTCGGAGCGGCGTGGAGAGCGAGAGGAGGGAGCTCGGCGAGAGGTGGAGGTTTCGAATGGTTCAGTTGTAGCGGTACCGCGGCTCAGGTCGCACGTGTCTCTCCGTTTTCGCGTTTTCGCGTGTTGTCGTTGTCGCTCACGCGTGTGTGTACCATTCACTCCGTCCTGGTCGCTCCCTTGCTCGCTTCGCCACGATCTCTTCCACCTCTGACGCGTCGTCGTCCGTGGGTTCGCCGACACTATCCGCCTCGCACGAGTCCGCCGCGTGACGTCTGACCAAACACGCGGTTCTTCTACTCGCGCGTTGCGCGCTTCTTCCGCTCGAAGTTTATTCCATCAGTCACTGACGAGCAACAGTTCACAGCTTCGATCGTGATGCAGACTTTCTCAAATGTAGACTGACCATCCGGTGAAACCGTTTGCCACGTCGCCGTCCGTCTAACGAAGAAGGATTGTGAATTAAAATTTCTTCACCGATGGCTGGGACGATGTAATATGATGTAGAGTTTGTGTTTGCTCTGGGCGAGAAAGAATAATCGCGGATCGGTTATTAATAAAGAGTGACGCAGCCACAGGAAGAGGAAGTGCTCGATCGAAGCACCAACGACGTGGATAATCCGGGATAAAGTATAAATAAATATTGTTGAGCCAGTTGACGACGAAACTTGTGTAACCTTCGTAGGGAGAAAGAAGGAGAGAGCGAGAGAGAGAGAGAGAGAGAGAGAGAGAGGCTGACTGTCGATTCGAGCAGGTGCATTCGACGGACGCGTCCGGTTGGATGACACCTGTGCGAGCGTAGCGGTGTCCCCGGTGCGTGAAACGATCGACGAATGAGAGTGTCTGGATCCCGATGATCGGCGAACGCGGACAGATCGATCGTCGTATGAGAAGGTGCGCGCGGTGCGCGTACCGGCGCGCCGTTGCACGAGCGGGCAAACTGAATTTAATGTTATGGTAACGTGAATCGATCGTTGCATACCACCGCCCCTTTGCCATCGCGATTTTCCGTGCCCGTGCATGCACGTAACCACCGTAAAAGCACCGCGAAGAAGGCGAAAAGGTAATTGAACCATCGGCCCTTGTTCCACCCTCTCTCCCCTCCGCTCCTATCGCCGCAATTCCCAGTCTAAATTACCCCGGGCGAAAGTTTGTCGACTTTTTCATTCGCTCATATAATAACTGAAATTCGCGTGAACGAATTCGAGGCAGTTCGCTCGACAGTGACGCTCGCTGTTCCGGACGGAATTCTCCCGTGTGCGCATTTCTCGGCACAGAGAATCGATTCGGATCGATCGGTGCCGGTCGGACTTCAAAGAGAGGAGGACACGGCAGGGAAAAAGGGGTGAGAAGCCGCACACACGACCACACAGTTGCGCTCATCCGGAAGAATCCTCGCGACTGGCACGTGTTAAAACGCTGTTGGTTATTCGGTGGTGATCAATCAGCTCGAACAGTCTCTGTACTAAGGAATCGTGCACCGTCTATCGGAAGAGGCTCGTTGAAGATTAATGTCTTTCGTATTTAGGCTTAACGAGCTGATCTTTATGTAGCAGATATAATATCTCGACGATTATAAGGCTGGTTTGACTTCGACGCTAACTGTATCAAAGAAACTAATATCGACGAAATATTAAATTCGGGATTAGCTGAATATTAACCTCGTTGGAGTTAACGACCAAGTATTGACCTTGGATTATAAAGGGAATGAACATCGACGATTAAGGCTACAACTGACGAGTGTATGAAGGAAATTAATATCGACGAAATGTTAAATCGTTGGAATTAGCGAGCAAATATTCACCTTGGACTGTAAAGAATATGAACATCGACGGAGTAACGAAACTTGGAAATATCAATTGGTCGATCAATCGAATTTTTTCGTCAATGCGGTATTCGAAGTAGGCTTGCACGTACGGCTGTTTTATCGTGTCGCTTTTGAAGGACGAGAGCAGCACCGACAGAAGGATCGTTCGATGCATAACTGATTTCGGGAGACTGCACCTGGCAGGTATTTGCCAGAAATTTCGGACGCGTACGTGACAGGAAAGATTACGAATCGGCGGAACGAAGCGACCTAACGAACGGTGGGAGGAGGAGGAGGATCCTCTTAGGTCGTTTGCTCGAGGGGATCGTTAGCTGGCAATCGACACCGAGGTCAGTGTTCGCCGGGTATAAATTTTTACGTTGGCGGAAACCCTATCGTGCGGCTTGCAAACGTTCGCCGTGCGAAGGTGCGAGAAAAGTAGGAGAGAACCGAGTAACAAGGCGAACTGGTCTGTTTGTCTGGTCGATATATACAGAACCAGTGGATATATTTATGTTCCGAGGGCGATTTACCTGGAGATTTACACAAAAAGGTGATGAAAACCGACATCGATGACCCTTGTAACGAGAACGTAGCACGCTCGTTGCCGCTCGTTCGAAAGACTCTGGAATCCACAGGTCGATAAATTGAAGATCAACGACTGTGGAAAGTAGTCGAGGATTCCACGAGACCGAAATCATCGCCGGCGATAGAAATTGGACGAAATTGGCGGAAAAGGAGGAGACGAAGGTGAACGAATTCTATCGAAGACTGATAGAATCGTGCTAACCGACGTTTGCTCAAACTTCATCGCGAAACGGACTCGTGCACTTTTACCGACTTTACTCGGGCAACAAGGTAGAAGATACTTTGTATTCGCGGACGTTCCACCGACGCAAAGTTAATTGAATTACGAATCAACGTAGCTGGTGAACGAGGAAAGAACGACAAGTTCGATGAGCAATTGAACTACTTCATGTAATTCGAAGAACGTGGATCGGAAGTTTCCACCGGCGAGAAGCGAGAACGATGCTCGATAATCCTTTGTTGGGAATCAGCACGGCCGAAAGTAATTCCAGAAGATAAGCAAGTTCACTGGGAAGCGCCGGATGTACTGATTGTCATTGAAGTTGAACCTCCGGATAGTTTAATGGTCACGATATCAGCTTAACCTCGGCCAAACTCTTTGCGGCACGCTCGTTGTGAATTCACTTCGCCGTAGATCGTCCACCACAGAGATAAAACGAAAATCTTTCGACAAGAATTTAAAAACGATCTTTCGTGTAATAGGAAAGAGATGAAATTAATAATCGAGACCAGTGAAAAATTGCTAAAGGTACAGAGTAAATTGGCGTGCAACAAATAAATAGGGAAGAGGAATGTGCAATTAACGATCGAGACCGGTGAAAGATTTCAGAGATACGGAAAATCGGGAAATAGTAGAAACAGGAAAGGAGAGTATACGGTTAATAATCAAGACGGGTGAAGGTTTCTGAGGATACAGAAAATTAAAAGAAAAAAAGGGAAAAAGTATATGTAATTAGGAATTGAGATGAGCAAAAGATTTCAAAAGGGTATAGTAAATCAAAGACTCGAAAGACGAGAGAACTAGCAAAGAAAGTGACACAGTAATCCGAGCTGGAATAGAGGCGAGCACGCAACAACGTGCCCGAAGGAGTATTTCCGAGTCTCTTCAGAGAACGTCGAACAAATTACTCGGCGTACACTGGCAACGCTCGAAAACAAGAGGAAAGCCATTATCAAACAATTGTTCTGCAAAGTGGAACCTTCTCTCCATTTTCTTACACGTAACTTGGCAACGTAAACGCGACGTCCGTAATTACGACTGAAATCCCTGAGGTTTTATGTCTCCTCCATGATCGACTAATCTATCGACGCTGAAGCTTATCAACTTGCAGAGAAGAAAACGAGAAGGACGACAACGATCGAAACCCGAGGATGGATCACGCGAGTCTTGATTAACCGCGATTACAGCTACGTGCTTTGTGTATTTCGACGTCGTCGTACGAGCGGAGGATTTCGCGAAACGAGCAATCCGTTGCGAGACGTGTTTCACGATCTGGAAGTAATTCGCGCGAGATTCTCGTTGCGAACGGCATCGGTTCGTTAGAGAAACGAAAGAAGCCGCGGGCGAGGACAAACAAAGAGAGAGAAAGAGAGGGAAGGAGAAAAGGCGAAAGAAGTCGGAGTTTGAACATTAGCGAGCAAGGGGAAAATCGTGCGCGTCACGAATCGTGCGGAGTGAAGTGGTGTGCGTAAGTTGAACCGGATGTGACGGGGGTGTGAATCAACGGCGATGACGAGCATTCACGTATTCACGTTGTCCGAGTGTCTGGATAAAAAGTTGGCCGCGATACTAACTATAGAAGCTATATATTGGGGATCGCCGCGTGGCTAAGTACGCCGCGAGCATGGCGCGGAAATAGGTTTCCCTTTCTTCCGGCTTCTTGCTGGAGAAGCGGCGGTACGAGTGGCCTCCGAGAAGAGGACGATGATGTCTAGACAAAGCAAAGACCCGGTGCAGAAGTGCCACTCGGACCCAGGCGCTGCGAGTACCACCGGTACTCCTTGCAGCCCTGGTAAGCGAATTCCTCGACGGCTAGTGCCAGGGATTCCCAGCTCCTCCAATACACGCAAATGTGTTCTCACCTTGGACGGCTATAGCTACGTGATCGGTGAGTACCGAATCACGATAAGACTCGAACTCTACTTATCATACAGCGAGATAGGTGGATGGATAGCCGATGGCGAAGGGAAGAGCGAGGAGGAATTTCTTTGCTTATCTTTTCGTACTCGGAACGGCGTGGCGCGTACAAAGTATTATCGTCGTTATATTATATATCGTCGACCCCGGTAGAGTTGACCCTCTACTTCATGCCAGAGTCTTCTTCTTTCCCTATTTCACTCTTTTCTTTTTCTCGGCTATATGATTGCTACACTCGGTTCTCTCGTGTCTTCGATCGACCGAGCTACAAATCATTCGGATTTTTTGTTCTTTCTTTTCTTTCTTTTCTTTTTTCCTTTCTTTTTTTTTTTTTTTTTTTTATTCGATAGCGTGTGGATGTTACGAGCTGGTTCCCTCGAGGCGAAAGTCTCTCGTAAACTTGGGGACGACAGTTGTGGGTCAACGAGTGCCGCTTGTTGTTTTTCTTTATTACGGTATTTCGTGCCATCGCCGCGTGTTCGCTTCCGTGGTTCGCTGCGGCTCGTTTGCAAGAATAATCAAAAGTTTATTGCTGGATACGTACACGCGACGACTCGTCTCCGGACGGTCTCGCCCCTGTACGCTACGTAGTAATTAGTCTTCTCTGCTAGAGGGCACGTTTGGTGACTGGCGTAACATCAACCTCGTGATTTCAACGACCTCGTAAATCCTCTGTTCTCTGCCTCTATGTAGCCGTGTTGCGTCTCTCGTCTTTTACCCTAATTAAGCGGAATACACACAGGTTCGTGATTCAAAAGAGGTAACCGTCGTCCGAGCCGACGAAGGGAGAGAAAAAGCAGAGAGGAAAACATCGGGCGAGGTTAATTAATCGGGAGAATGCACCGGTGGCTAAGCAGAGATGCGCCAACACCTTTGAATTCCGCCGACCGTGTTTGTCGTGTGGATTTTCCATTGAATCGAGTGACGAATATACCTGACCGGTTTATTATCTGTCGGACGAAGAATCCGTTTGTTAATCGAATACCCACGTTATTACGTGGATTTCGTGTGCATTTCGATACTACGTGTTAACAGGATCTCTGGGCGTACGAAAATTTCGCTTTTTGTTATCGAGCCGATTATTTGCTCGAATTTGCATTTAATATTTCGCTTCTGTACACCGTATTGATTTCGCTGTTTGTCGGTTTTTCAATTAATTGTCACGATGCCGACTGCACCAAAATATTGGAGTTTATAATAACATAGATATCACAGTTGATGATTGAACATTCATGGAATGGATTGAAATAGATGTAGGTAATAGATGTTTGTACAATGGATATTAACTATAATAATTGATTACTAGTAACGAATATTTCAGTCTTTCAACGTCATTCTTCTTCATTTTATTTATAATACATTCACGTAGTGGCGGTGCTTTGAGAATGCTCTTTTTAAACACGAGTGAGCAAGTTCAATGAAACATTTAATGTTCGTAATTTTTTCGATGAAATGTTTCATAATTCTTCGATCGTAATTATTATTATTTATAAGATCTAACAATCTCGATTGATTATTTTCATCTGTATATATTTAGAATATAGATAGGCAATTTATTATTATTTAGCTCGTGTTAAATGAGATAATTTGACGCGTACAGGCGCAGAAAGTTTGTGAATAATTTGTAACCAAGTTGGAAGTTCCTAAGTTCGTGAATACTTCCAAACATGTTGAGCTACTATTTGCAAACGGAATACGTACACTACGTAGATAAACGGAAATACTCATGCATACGGTAATCAGCACGTTCTGGCTTTCTCATGCTTGTCATTCATTATGTGACGTATGACTTAAAAGATACGACTACGTATTATGTCACGTCAGAAGTAAACATATTAACTTGACCAGGGGAAAATTCTCGTCGCTACGTTCTGTTTCTACATTTATAACTTTGCTTGATCGTGCCATCAAAACAGAAACTATAAAAAAAAACGATGTATTGCTTAATATATAGTTATATCACTGCAAGATACACGTGACAAAAATTGATTAGAAATAAATGGTATTATAATCAGTATAGCATATAAATTATAATTGTATGCTGGAGAATTGTCTATTTCTAGTTTTCTTTTTTTTTTATAACATAGAATTGGAAAATACGCTCCTTGTATTTTTGAAGGAATACATTATTACAAGTGCTAAAATTTTTGACACAAATCAATCGTTCTCAAAATTTATGAAATAACTTGCAACATTAATCGAAATATGTGATAATTTATTGCAATAGTTGATGTGATCGTAAAGAATTAATTTAAAAAATTAGAAAGTTTTTCAAATTCTTATTTCGTGGAACAAGCTAAATTTTTAAAGATTTTATTTTGTACATTTTTAACTTTGATATTGCATTTCATGCAAGTTACAGATTATATTCATTTTCTCGATATTCAGTTTTTCATCTATTTAGCAATTCGTTTATTCTATCATGTTTCACTTTTTCAAATCAAATATCTTTTCAATACATTTACTGCTTGATCGACAGTGTTGAATATTTTATTCCATTCAAAAATTAGATAAATCTGTATACCGTGAAAGTTACAGATTGCAAATTTTATTATTTATAATTTCTACAGAATGCGAATGATCGTGCAAATAGATAGAAAATCCTTAAAAATTCGACTTAATTCAGTTTCAATAAATTAGTAAGATCTATGAAAGATCTATTTAATTATAGCTAGATGATTCGGTTTGGTCATAAAAGTTATCAGTTAAATTTCAAAATGATCCTCTAAATTCTTCCATAGCTAAATATTCAATACTTTTGTACACACTGACAAAAAAAGAATATACTTACCACAAACTTACGTGGAATACATGTGTTTCACGAAGAATCTCGGCATTAATGTCATCGAGATGTCGTCACAGTTGAAACTCGGCCTAAAAAAGCCGGGCCTTCGTCACAACCGAATGACCTATTCTTTCAATAGTTTCTTTGTCAGAAACTATTGAAGGCAAGTAGAATGCAAGCTCGTTCGTCGTGCTCTTAATTCGCTTGCAGTTCATTTACATTAAACTTTGTGTTCGAAGCAAATCTATTTACGACGCACAGCGACGTCGCTGCTGCAATGGTAACGACGTTCTCTCAAACTGCGACGGCTACGGGCCGCGATCACGACGATGAGCTGCACGTGAAAAGAAAAAAAAAGAAAGAAAGAAAGAAAGAAAGAGAAAAGGAACAAACGAGAGGAACGCGAGATGAGAAAGTAGAAAAAGGGAAAAAAAACGAAAGGAGAGAAAGAGACGTTTGCATCGCGTGCCACGTTAGCGCGCGAGAAATTACAAAAGAAATATTCTTAACGTAGGAACAATTGTTCGTAATTGCAAAACACGTGAGACGAAGGCGATCTTATCGTCTGCAAGCTTCTCAAATCTTCGTTGGCACTTTCTTAGTTGGTACGCGAACCGTTTGAAATTAACCTCGCGTTCATTTCTCTCGGAGGAGGGATCAAAGTCGCAAGAGTCGGCTCTCTCTAATTGTTCGATCCTTTATTCAGTGCAGCGAGAATAAAATTACGGAACTTCTTCTACTTTACGATTGTTCTTACGATTTGCTGTTGACATTCTGCTCATCTCTTTCTTTCTTCGTACTAATCGCGCTGAACAACGAATTCATTTCTCTTCCTCGAATACTGTCTCGTACCGCGATGCGAGACAATAATTTGAACTTGGAAGTTCAAGCGTCGAAAATTAATGCTGGTGTTTTGCCGTTCGTTTCCGTACTGCATTTTCGTCGACGTAGTAATGAGAATAATAATAAATGAAGCGAAACGAACGACGTAACAAGCATGTTATTTACTCTATCTTGCAGTACGTCTTATGTAGATTGCAAATGCTAATTTAAGGTTGTTGTTCAGCGTTGCTCTAATCATGAAAATTCACGTGCATATTTCAGCACGTGTTCTTGCACAGATTGTGCATATGTGAAGTACAATGTTTATTGCTTAATACTGCACAATAGCAACGTAATATTTCGTATGTTACTTTGTACGATAAAAAGAACACGTTTTGAACGTGTAAGAAAAATGTTACTATTTTGTGTGTAATGAGACATGTATTTTAAACTTTGCATACGAAATTTTAAACACGACGTGTACAATTACCAATACACCCTTAATTATATTTAGACAAATCGTTCTTTCTAATCAATTGTATCTTCTAAATTTCGTGAATCAATAACTCTAACTGTCAGTCTTCTTTTTCCACTCTCGTGGAAATATATATGCAAATAAATCGCACATTGTTGATTTTTATTAATTATCGTCGGATCGGCCCCAATATTTTCTGAAATATCCTGGCAAATATTTATGTCACGTTGGCTGTCCTGCGTGAAACAGTAGTAAACAAGACGATATTTCGATCGCGAGATATCGCGATTCTCGGAACGAAACCGCCGTTCCAATGATTTCAATTATCTTTTAATCTTAGCTTCGGCGCGCGTGATAATCTCATGGTGGCCGGAGCTATTCCTATCTCTCTTTTCCGTTTTCGTGGGAAATCTCTGCTGGAAATCCCGCGGATTTGAAAACGTGCCGCTGCACGTTTAAAAGCTAATCTACCGCGAGGTCGAGTACCGTCCATCATTTATTTTTTCCCGCTTTGCTCGTGTTTCTCGATTTCCGCGATGACTTCTGTGCCTCCATCCTTCGTTCCTTTCCTTTCTCGCTTCCGAGAGAGACTTTTTCCACCGGCGGCTGTTCAAACGAGGCGTATTTTTCTCCCGCCGGGAGTGTTACGCGCGAATTCGTCGCCATCGTGTGTCTGACACACTCCGGACGAATCTACTGTCACTTCGTGGAAAGCAATGGTGACGAGGAAAAAATGCGGATATTTTCACGGGATGAAAGTTGCGTGATTGAACGATTAATTTAATTGCGAGAACCAATTGAAACCTCTTTTTCGAGGGAAAATCTACTCTGATGATACTAAACGAAGATGCGCTTGTATGGTAGATATCGGGGAAAGTTTTTAGTACAGGTTGTTAGAATGGAATTTTTGCTCCGTCTGTTCAACATTTTAGAGGAACTAAATTTTTATGCAGTGTTCGAAGAAAGTGGAGTGTTTGTTATAACATTTAGCGAGCAAAGAATACTTTAAGAATACTGAGAGAATATTTAAAGAGTAATAAATAAAATGTGACAGTAAAATAAATCTCCACTCAGCTTCTATTTTTCTTCAGCACAAGCATAGCCATTGCATAAATAGCGTAAATCAGTGTTAAAAGTACGACATTATACAATTGGATATTTATGCAAATTTCGTACTTGTATTTTCACGATTTTTTCTTTTTAAGTCTTTTAATTAAAATTCGAACCTAGATTGAATATCTAAATACAGTAATATTCACTATAATTAATACTACGAAGTACCAATTAAATATTATAATAAACACTGCACATTCAACATTTCACGTATATTACGTGACTTTTATGCATTTTACATGATTTCAAATTTCCCATATCTAAATGCATGAAACTCTGCAGTGTAATGATCACTTTGCAAACGACTTCGAGTGTTCCTTGAAGATTTATAAATCAGTATTGTTTCGACGTTCTTGTTAATTTTGAAAATATTCCTTCAATTCTCCCGGCAAGCAT